CCGCGGGCGAAGCCGCTGGCAGAAGCTAGTTCTGAAATATTGTCGAACTTAAACGATTTATTATAGCCGTATTTTTAACTATTGGCCCGAAATTTTTTCTTACATTGAACCTTTATGTCTTCTGCGACATACCCCCGAGAAAAGACACGGTTTCAAAACTACACCTTGTAGAATCCAAACTCACCAATCATCAGAATTCAAGTCATCATCATTATCTTCTACCTTCTCTGCCGGCTCCCCTTCAGTTACCGCCTTCTCTTTAATAGCGTGAAGTTTGTTCTTGAACTTTGCTAGCAGTTGTAATGTGAAGTCTTCCCTGAAATCAAGATATTTGATTATTACTTGACGCGGGAATCGAACCCATCTATAGGATCAAAACGGAGCAACTAGCTATATTTCTTTTTCATTTCTTTATAAACATTTTCTAATACAAGTATTTTATTAATTGGTAATGTATGTCATATAAATAAAAAACTGACTACAAAAAACCAAAAACTAATAACAAACAATAAGTAAAAACTAAAAAGCAAAATAAATACTATTATTTATTTATTTATTTATATCAGGCAAGGAAGGCCCATATTAAAATACAATAATACTATAATATCTACTACAATTTTAACTTAAAATATTATAAATACATAAAGTAAGTAATAAATTTAAATTAATTAATTATTAGTACAAATAAGTTCTATACAAAACTAGAACCTTAATAGATACCTAATTTACAATTTTGTGGCCATTAAGTTATATCATTATGATGTGAGCTTTTTTTTAAGTGTATGTTAAAGCGTTAATACAAAGTTTTATTAAAAGATCAAACTAGTAACGGTTTAATTAATAACATCATAACATCACGCCTTTTTATCTCTGAATGCCCCGGGGTAGGCAGAGGTGCACATTATGCCACTGTACAATGTAACACCCACTTTTCACTATTTATTAACATAAATGAGTTCCATGTAATATGGGGTGAGGCTATTGCCATATACCGGGCACAATTCCAGACTCCGTGCTACTTCTGAGATTTTTTTTAAAAACCCAATAATACTTTGCTCGAACTGGGAATCGAACCCGAGACCCCTTACCCGGCAGCCGCATTTGCTACCACTCAGCCAGCGAGGAAGGTTTAATTAATCTGTTAAAAATATTGTAAATGGAATAGTTACATTTATATAAAGCAATTAAATGCATTAAAATGATCAAATTGGTTAACTTTGTTCACAGATTACATACCTCTCCAATCTAGACGTGATAAAAGTACACTTTCTTCAAAGATTTTTTTATGGTATAAGCCGGTAAACGAGCAGACGGATCACCTGATGGTAAGCAATCGGCGTCGCCCATAGACACCTGGAACACCAGAGGCGTTACAAGTGCGTTACCGGCCTTTTGGGGAATTCGAAGTTTGAGGATTGTTGGGTATTCAGGAATTGGGAAGATTGGGGAAGGGGAGGGTAATTGGGCCCCCGGTAACCCACTCACACGACGAAACACAACGCAAGCGTTGCTTCACGTCAGTTTTCTGTGAGGCCGTGGTATCACTCCGGTCGAGCCGGCCCATTCGTGCCGAAGCATGGCTCTCCCACACTTAAAATGTGCATATAATGCATAGTTCTATGAAATAAATGCACTGTTTCAGCTGTAACTTTAAAAGAATGAAATTTGTAGACCAGTGTTACTATTCGATTCTATTCCATTATCTGTTTCTTTGCGCCCACGTATATTTGTGCATCAAAATAGATTCAGTAGTTTAACCATTTGACATAATAAAATGTCAGTTAATTTTCAGGTGAGGAACATTACCCCGCCGCCTAAAATCACAAGCTAATAACCACGAGGCGGTAATATAAAAAAAATTGAATTTTTTTTATTTGTCTAACACACTGTGTCTCGAGGTTGTTATTTTTTTTTCCTGCCACAGGCCCACAGGAAGAAATTCCAGTTGGAATATGTGGGGCCTATGTACTCTGTTTTTATATATGTGTTGTCATTTGTGTTATATGTGTGTACATAGGTAAATCCTTACTTATATATATTATATATTATAAATCGGAAAGTGAGTTTGTTTGTTTGTTTGTTCCACTTTAATGGCGTAACTACTAAATCGATTGCTTTGAAATTTTGCAGACGTAAAGTTAGAAGTCCGGATTAAATAATAGGGTACTTTTTATCCCTGAAAATTTGATATTCCCGAGGGAAAACAAAAGTATTGGTATAGATGGCGCTGTGTGTATTGGTATATGTCACATTGGCTTTTTAACCTTTTGTGACGCGAGCGAAGCCGCGGGTAAAAGCTAGTAATAAATAAATATAAACCTAAGTTCAGCGCAATCTTCCATGTATCCATGGAAGGCGCCAATTGTTTACCATCAGGTGATCTACTCGCTCGTTTACCGGCCACAAAAATCTATTCAGTTGGGTAATAATCACTACATAGTATAAAACAAAGTCGCTATCCACCGTCTGTCTGTCCCTATGTATGCTTAGATCTTTAAAACTACGCAACGAATTTTGATGCAGTTTTCTTTAATAGCTAGAGTGATTATTAGGGAAGGTTTATATGTATAATACATGCATATTGCACCCATGTGAAGGCGGGGCGGGTCGCTAGTAAATAATAAAACAAGGTTTTAAAATCCATTAAATTTATTACATTATTTGGCTCATTATAACATAATATCACTTCATAATATACATACATATCATCTCTCCTACAATTCCCTTAAAGAGTAAGTAGAATAGTTAACATAACAATAACATAACATAACATCACGCCTTTTATCCCCGAAGGCAGGCAGGCAGAGGTGCACATTATACCACTGTACAATGTAACCCACCCACTTTTCACACCCACTTTTCACTATTTATGTTATGAGTCCTATGTAATAGGGGGTGAGCCTATTGCCATATACCGGGCACAATACCAGACTCCGTGCTACTACTGAGAATATTTAAAAACCCAGTAATACTTTGCTCGACCCGGAAATCGAAACCGAGACCCCTTGCCCGGCAGTCGCACTTACGACCACTCGGCCAACGAGGCAGTCATAACAATAATCAACATAACAATAATATTTTAATATATATGTTAAAATATTCACACTGGGAACAATTTTAAATTATGTTAATTGTAGAAAACAAAATTGAAAAAATCAACCATTAATTATTTTGCCTGACCTGGGGCTTTAAGTTTAATATTACCAATAACAGATATAGTAATATAATTGAGACATACTAAATTAACTAAAGTCGCGGGTCACTCACGTGAAAATATTGTCACCGCCATCGCCGCGACCTCGCACGCTGCTCATGAGGAAGAATCCCTCTGTGGCTCGAAACTAGTAGAGCTTTTCTCAGTATTTTCAAGTGAGTAACTCACGACTTTCAGTTTAAAAAAAAAAGTTATTCGTTTTGCATTAATACCTGTATATTTCCCAAAAGGAGTATGTATAACATAACATAACATCACGCCTTTTATCCCCGAAGGGGTAGGCAGAGGTGCACACAGAAGTAACACCCACTTTTCACTATTTTTGTTATGAGTCCCATGTAATAGGGGTCTATTGGCACATTTCCAGACTCCGTGCTACTATTGAGATTTTTTTTTAAAAACCCAGTAATACTTTGCCCGACCCTGGAATTGAACCCGAGACCTTGTCCTTGCTTGAGTATGTATAAGTAACTGTACATTCAACTATACATATATATTTCTACACCCACCCAAATAAATATAATATGCAGGTAAGAACAAAAATTGAAAAAGACTGCCTCGTTGGCCGAGTGGTCGCAAGTGCGACTGCCAGGCAAGGGGTCTCGGGTTCGATTCCCGGGTCGGGCAAAGTATTACTGGGTTTTTAAAAAATCTCATTAGTAGCACGGAGTCTGGAATTGTGCCCGGTATATGGCAATAGGCTCACCCCTATTACATGGGACTCAGAACATAAATAGTGAAAAGTGGGTGTTACATTGTACAGTGGCATAATGTGCACCTCTGCCTACCCTTTCGGGGATAAAAGGCGTGATGTTATGTTATGTAACAAAAATTGATTGAGTACAGAGACTTGTTTACAAGAGATATGGCTAAGTTAGAAAGCAAACGATTTAGTATAACAATAGAAACTGCCTCTGTACTGAATCAATCTATATCTTCTATATACTAAATAATTTGGATAATTGAACAATATCTATTACACATTTAACACGTAAAACGCCATGGGGGTCACCGGTGACCGGCGTTAGCGGAGGATTTACCTTCAACAGTTTTTTATTGGCAGTCAAAGTCTTAACAGACACCAATCTCGAATGACGTAACATAACATAATATTGAAATACAATATTGACAGAAAAAAAACAATACAACCTTTTTCAACCTAAAAATCTTGATATGAAATTAAATATACATTTATTCGGTATAAGACATGCACACCAGGAATAAAAAGAAAAAAATATACATTATAACAAATTACAATCACAAAGGTTTAAAAACTGAGAGAAAAAAAGAAAAAAAACATGAAAAAGATAATAAGCTAATACATTATAAAAACAAGCTAATAATAGTAATATCTTCTTTTTACATGATGTTATCTAAATGTCTTTTTATCCCCGAAGGGATAGACAGAGGTGCACATTACGGCACTTAATGCCACTGTACAATGTAACACCCACTTTTCACTATTTATGTTATGGGTCCCATGTAATAGAAGGTGCGCCTATTGCCATATACCGGGCACATTTCCAGACTCCGTGTTACAACTGATATATTTTTTTTAAATCTTCTTTTTCTTTTTCTTTTTATACAAAATGTTGCCCCACACTAGGATTTTCTCCTGTGTCGTGGGTGCGTTTACAAACATACAAGTTCAAATACACAAACGGAACTCGAAACAACAATTTGTGGATCACACAAAGTGTTGTTCCGTTCGGGAATCGAACCCGCAACACGTTGTGCGGCAGCCGGTTGTCCAGCCACCGCACCAACCGTGCAATCTAACCTAAAACTACGATTTAACATACAAACACTCCTCCAAGTCATCAGAATCATTGATCACAGCCTCATCCCACGGCCCATATTTATTATCCTTATATTTCTGCCAATATACAAACAAAAATGGACAATAACAAGTAAGAATAAAGACTACAATCGCGAAATAACACAACAATGTGATTGAGACGCTATATAAACCCACAATTGTAAATATAAGAGTAACTATATATATGATATTGAACAATTTTGTATGCAAAATTGTTTTAAACAGTTGAGGGCTTAACACAAATAGTATGACGGAGATTGTTAGCAGCACGAACGCGTCAAAAGGCGTCGAAAGTCGGGAAACGAGGCATACGGAGGCAAATATGGCGGCGTTAATTGATAAAGACTTCGAAACTAAGGCTGCAGGTACATTATAGTCAAAAAATATCAAATGAATGATCATCATGATCACAGCCCAAGCATATATTGTGTCTGTACTTACTGTATCCGTTAAAGTATGCAAAATCGGAGACAGTAAATAACCAATACTTAGGTACACTAGAACAGTCTTTAAATGCCTCAAAATGGCGGACCCAGCGAAACATATATACAGAAAATAGCTGAATAAAGTAGCTGTAATGGACGTGTATATTACTGTGTATGTGTGAACCCAGTTGTTATACATATAGACGTATATAATAGCGTATAATACACATATACATAAGCGTAGTGCGACTCGAAATGAGCCTTGAATAGCTTGCGGTAAAGTTACTTTTTCAATGTTCAAATTTTTGCGTAGTTCTTGGAGGAAATTTTTATCGGTATAGTTGTCTGGATATTCACGGTTTTCGTACAAGTTCTTGACCCATGGTTTTCGCTTGTGGACTTGTTTAGGCTGCTTCGTGCGCGGGTTTCTGAAATGGTTGTTTCTTGTATAAGTTCTTCAGGCTTCATTTTTGTGACGAACATTCACTAGGTTTTGTTGTAAAAGATGGCGCGAGAGTAACAAATGGTGTTGTTGCACGGCACACAATCTACACTTAAAAATGTTTATAAAGGAAAGTAATTTGATATTTATTTATTTATTTATTTATTTATTTCCACTTACATTTATCTTTACAGGTTAATGCCCAATGCGATAAATGTGCTCATCTTAATATCTACCTATAGCATATTACATATAATGCATTCCTTGTGAATTCACCCAGAGTACAACAAAATAGGTCAATTTCATACGGCAACGCGACAAATTCACATAAAGATAGATATTCATTACATAATAAAAGTTCGGAACGTCTGCAGGATATTATGATTAATGTCAAATTTTACGTTTTTATGTCTAAACCACTGAACCAATTTTGATGAATAAATTTTTTTATTCAAAATGTATATTACGATAAGACGGGAGATTTAGACGCGAGACAAGCCCGCCGCAACCTCCTAAAACAGCTGCAACTCCTGTAAGCCAGGATCTACAGTAGATACAACCATGAACACACCGGAACACTGAAGTCCGGCGCGTCCCAGGGACATGAGTAACTGTCTTGGTTCCCTCAACGAAGTGAATCAGAAGATATTATAAGAGGAGAAGAAGAAAAAACTACAGTTTCCACTTCGCTCGGTGAATTACTACAGGAGTAAGAATGAGACTGGAGAATTCAAATTGTATTAAGTATTTTTGTTATGAACTCAATATATAACACGCCCTCTCCAAATCCCCACCCAATTCAAAACCCTAATCCCCAATGGACTGGCAAGAGTCGAAGCACTTTTAACTCCTCTAGTATTGCAGGTATCAATGGGCGATGGTAATTGGTTACCATCAGGTGATCCATCTGTTCGTTTGCCGGTATATCCCATAAAAAATGTAATAAATATATTAATAAAATAAAAGTGTGGGAGAGCCATGTGTGCTTCGGCACGAATGGGCCGGCTCGACCGGAGTGATACCACGGCCGAGCAGAAAACCGACGTGAAGCAACGCTTGCGTTGTTTCGTCGTGTGAGTGAGGTTACCGAAGGCCCAATTATCCTCCCGTTCCCCAATCTCCCCAATCCCTGAATCCCCAAACTCCTAATCCCCAAAAAGCCGGTGACGCACTTGTAACGCCTCTGGTGTTCCAGGTGTCCATGGGCGACGCCGATTGCTTACCATCAGGTGATCCGTCTGCTCGTTTATCGGCTTATGCAATAAAAAAAATATGTTACCTGGCAGCACCCTTCTTAGGCAACTTCTCCTTCATCTTTCTATACTTCTCCTGTTCTTCTACATACTTCTGGTACATTTCATTGTCTTCTGCCGACTTCTTGTCGCCTTTACCATCTTCATTTGCAGTCTGTTCTTTCAAATTCTGTTCTTTTATCTTCTCTTCTTTTGAATTCTTCATCTCTTTTCGCAGCTGCTTTATTTCGCTTTGTATTCTTTCTCTGTAAAAGTTGAAATGTAATTAGTTTAGAAGATTGTAATTGAGTAGTTTCCAAGGTGAAATACAAATATTTTGACTTTTCAATACAATAAGAGTTCTTTCAGTTATTTTATAATGTTTTGTATTCGTTGCATGTATTTGTACATGACAGAACTGGATGACTGTCCCAGGCCTGCAGGAAGAAATCCCTTAACTCGTCGAGTACCGGTTTTATAGACACAATTAAAGAACAATAGGCCGCGGTCACCGGTGACCGCTTGGTGTTTGACAGTTTAAGGGACATGCAGTACCTATGTACCTCATGCTTGTAATATTTTATCCTTTGTAATATTGTCTGTGTGGTGTAGGTAGGTACATGAAATGATAAATAAATAAAATAAAACATTCAAAAATAATCGTAGTTTCATTCATTGACTTGACTATATGCTTCATTGTTTTTGAATATTCTATTTAATTTTAATGAAATAGGTGGTTGATTTTACGCAAAAATTTAATGACGTCATATGTTGCGATCTCAATACTAAATTTATAATTTGACATTTCAATAAAAAAGTATTGAATTTCACTACTTTTCGACTACCGTATTGTGATTGTTGTCGAATGTGGTACTACATATTTGATCTAGATCGACTGTGTAGCATTTTGAACCTTAAATACGTAGATGTCCAACCCGCTTGCACGTGCCGATGCCGATTATGGCAAACCGGCATCATCGGCAACATCGGCACTTGCCGGAGGGAATACATAAGAATGGACACCTATAATGTAACAATGGACTGGTCATCTCGTAATAATCTAACAGTTTCAGGCTGTTGAAGTTCTAACTCGAAAATTAAACTGAAAAGCAGACAGAAGACCAAAATAGAACTCACTTTTCCTTCTGCCTCGCATCATTCTTCTCCTTCCCAATATAATACTCTTCAATCTCCGAATCACTATCCGAAACTTCTTTCTTCTCTTCAACTCTTTTCTCTTCTTTCTTCTTAGATCTTTTATCTTCCGTCTTCTGTCTCTTACTATCTCCTTCTAGAGACTTCCCACGCTTCTTAGAACTCAATTTATCTCTTATATTGCTTACTGTTGCTGCTGTTTCTTTTACTTTCTCTTCTTTTTCTTCTTCTGTGGGCTCGGGTAATGGTTTTTGTTCTTCTAATTCTAGTTCTAGAAGGAATAGTGGTTAGTTATTATAAGAATATAGCTTGTTAATACTTCAACCGCCAAGCTTAAAATGGGGAAAGTCACTAGCGTCAGGCACCGATGACAAAGTCAAATTTCCACTAGCGTCAGGCAATAGTCACTGATGTAGGGTTAAATAGTAATTTGGTTCTTTTTGTAATAAGATTTGATTTAATTCGAACCCATTAGCAAACTTGAAACCTCATGCCACTATTATCTTGACTTACATATATTTTTTTATTAATGCTTCATGCACAAAGTGTACATAAGGTGGACTTAATGCCGCAGGCATTTTCTCCCAGTCTGACCTTTGGGTGATGCAGAGAAGTGTTAATGGTGGGAGCAAGAAGCAAGTAACGATTTAATTGAGCAAACAGAAAAAACACTTAAATATCACGATATCCTCTTTCCACATAGTATGGGCCAGGGCGCCATTGAAGATGGCAGTCAGGAGGACTATTAACTGGGCGGGAAGGAGTTAATATTTTATTTTGTAACACGTAAATATACCATAAAATCCAACCTTTAATCTTGGCCAAAGAAATCTATAATACTAGCACCCAGAAGTTTATTATTAAACTAGAATTCTACTAACAAAAGTCTATAAATAATTAAAAATATACACTTACCGGCAGCAGTTTTACTGCTCAACTTGGGGTCTTCCAGCAGGTCGTGCGTAGACTTGGGCTTCCCTCTGTACTCCGCAGCCTCACCCTCGTCTTCTTCAGCCTCCTCACCGAATGAGAGAAGACCAAAGTTCCTGGATATAGAAGCAATAAGTATTTATAGATTTATTGAATTGACCTGATGGTATTGATCTGATGATCTCCAACGATCCTCAAACTCCTAATCGCCAAAAAGCCGGTGACGCACTTGTAACGCCTCTGGTGTTCCAGGTGTCCATGGGCGACGCCGATTGCTTACCATCAGGTGATCCGTCTGGACGTTTACCGGCTTATGCCATACAAAAAAAAGAATGGGTCTGTGTGTCATGTGTATGTGAATTAATATGTACGACACAGGAAAAAATCCTAGTGTGGGAGTAACTAGATTGGATTCCCGTAAATGCACCCACGATGGGTTATAAAAAGAAAGAAACGAAATGCCATTTAAAAGTTAAGATTACACACATCCAAAATAACACTCACTTAACCCCAACCCGTTCCTTCTTCTTCTTCTTAGGTTTATCTTCTTCTCTGGTCTCTTGTACCCTCGGCACGATGTCAGTGAAAGGGTTGATAAGTACCGTTGTGCTTGTAATCTTGTGGGGATGGTCTGGTCGGTCATCGGGGCCTATTAGACCCTCCGACAGTTTCAAGACGTTGTATATTGTTTCTCCTATTAAATATAAATGAAGGAAGGTTCAGTTATATTGATGTTGTAGGGCAGACCAGTCTGATCCTTGGTCGCGTAAGGTATTATTCTGATTTTCGAAATGGCATGTGAATTATTCACTTATACAATTTTTTACTAGCTTTTACCCGCAGCTTTGCCCATTAGAAAAAAGAGTATCGTATAAGTCAGTCACCGTTCAGTAATTTTAGCATGATTGACGGACCAACATCCAAACAAATAATCATTCAAATTTATAATGTTAGAGTGATTAGTGCCATGTAATGCGTGATGAAATGAACTTAATGTTATTTATGGACACAGTTTCGAAAACTGTGCAGAGAAAAGAATTTTTTAGAAACCAAAAACCATATAGTACACACGGCTACACATCGAACTTTAACACATAACATCACGCCTTTTATCCTCGAAGGGGTAGGCAGAGGTGCACATTATACCACTGTACAATGTAACACCCACTTTTCACTATTTATGTTATGAGTCCCATGTAATAGGGGGTGAGCCTATTGCCATATACCGGGCACAGTTCTAGACTCCGTGCTACTAATGAGAATTTTTGTAAAACCCAATTAATACTTTGCCCGACCCGGGAATCGAACCCGGCAGTCACAATTGCGACCACTCGGCCAATGAGGCGGTCTTTAAATCGAACTTTAAATAACCAGTATAAACTGAACGTTAAATGATCGATGATGCGACGCGACACCAGGATAAACTGGTTTTGTATAGATTGATGTGTGGCCGTGTGTACCTTAGATAGACATACCTACTTGCAAACAAACAGACATTCAAAGAGACAAACCTTTTCAAATTATAATCTATTTTATCTGAACACAGTACATAATTCATAAATACATAAAAACATTTTTTCACAGATCGTCAGGATTCTATTTGTTTTATTTTATTTTGTACTAGCTTTTACCCACGGCTTCGCTCGCGTCACAAAAGGATAAAAGTAGCCTATGTGACATATACCAATACACACAGCGCCATCTATACCAATACTTTTGTTTACCCTTGGGAATATCAAAATTTTCCGGGATAAAAAGTACCCTATTATTTAATCCGGACTTCTAACTTTATGCCTGCAAAAATTCAAAGCAATCGGTTTAGAAGTTACGGCGTGAAAGTGGAACAAACAAACAAACAAGCTCACTTTCCCATTTATAATAGTAAGGATGATGTTCTGGCAACGGACTAGTGCTGAAAATCAGCGCCGCGACTCCATCTTCACGGCATTTAACTGAGCACTGGCCTTTTTGCACCGTGTACATTATTGCTTTTTTTTATTTATTTTTTTTTGTATATTTATTTTAAAAGATTATAAAAATGTAACTTACCAGTGACTTTCCCAAAGATTGTATGTTTGTTCTGCAGCTCTGGTGTTGCAGCTAGCGTGAAGAAGAACTGTGAGCCGTTGTCATCCTTGCCCGCGTTCGCACTGCCTACTAAACCTCGCCGGTTGAAGCGGAGACGGGAATGGAACTCATCCTATTGATGTCAAAGTCAATATCATTTATTTCAATTAGACCAGAAAGGCACTTTTGAACGTCAAACAACAAAAATTTAGAAGTGAAGCTAGTTGCTCATTCCAAGGCGTAGATTCCTATGGAGAAGAACGAGCAAGAAACTCCATAGGTCACTCTTTCCAATCGGGTGTACAATACAATTCTCTAGTTACATAGTTTTATTGGTTCGATTGCGTAAGAACAATGCAACACCTAAATCCAGTCAAAGAGACTGAAAAAGAAAATAACCTTGAGGATAATAAAATGATAGGTACGTGATACGTACGATGATGGTATGATCATATTATTGTTATTTTAATTTTAAGTTGTATTGTATTTTGTTTAACATGTATTCTGTGTCCAACTTTATCTTATGTTTTGTAGTTTTACTATAGTTTCACATTTACTTGTAACACCTCTTTCGTGTACCCTAACTCGTCGAGTACCGGTTTTATAGACACAATTAAAGAACAATAGGTCGCGGTCACCGGTGACCGCTTGGTGTTTGACAGTTTAATCAAGATTCCTTTTTTTTACATTTTTGTAATTTAATTTGATCTATGTAATCTGTGTATACCGTGTTAAACAATAAATAAATAAATGAGTATGTAGTATTTGGAACTTTTTTAAGAGAAGGATACACATGGGGACATTTCCCATGAATGTATCGATAACATGTCAAGCGAAGCCTGCCAATTTCGCTCAACATATTATAAGGCAACCACGTGCGCCTTATGTCTACAGCGACGTTGATGTTGCCAGACATTCCCATTTCACAATTTCTTAGCTGTAGTTGACTAGCAAACTGCCACAGACTGTTTATGAAGATAAACGAACCCATACCAATCTTTTTGTGTGTGTCATAATTGACTGCACGGTTGGCGCGGTGGCTGGTTAAAAGGCTGCCGTGCAACGTGTCGCGGGTTCGATTCCCGCACGGAACAACACTTTGTGTGATCCACAAATTGTTGTTTCGGGTCTGGGTGTCATGTGTATGTGAACTTGTATGTTTGTAAACGCACCCACGACACAGGAGAAAATCCTAGTGTGGGGCAATGTTTTAAAAAAAAAAAGTTAAGGTCAAAGGTCAAAAGTCCACCGTAAGACTACTATCGGTTGCGCTGCAGCGCTTATACACACATGCACACGCATATCTGCATCCGTGTGCGTGTTTATGCGTACGCACGCGTTTTTATGCACATTAATATGTAATTACTAACGCATTGCCATGAACATCACTCACGGTGGCAGTGGACTTTTGACCTGTGACTGTAAATGTGGAAACGTTATTTTACCTTAAAAGGGGCACCATAGATGGACTCTCCACCCGTACCATCACCGTTGGGGTCCCCACCCTGCACGATAAACCCTGGTATAACTCTGTGGAATATTGTACCTGGAAATAAACAAAATAACAAATGAAACATCCACAAAATTTGTTCATACAAAAATAGTCTCTAAATACCGGAAATAAGGCCTACAATGGAGAATTTTATTACTTTATGTTAATCTGCTCACAATAATATTATCTAGTTTTGGTATGGTTTACTGACTTTTTATGTTTTTTTTTTTAGCGAAGACAAATTGGAGAATCGAGAGATAATTTTTTTATGGAATAAGTCGGTACCTAAACAAGCAGACGGATCACCTGATGGTAAGCAATCGGCCTTTTGGGGATTAGGAATTTGAGGATGGCTAGAGATTCAAGGATTCTGGAGATTGGGGTGTAATTGCCTTCAGTAACCTCATTCCCACGACGAAACACAATGCAAGCGTCCCACACTTAAAATACAATAAATAAGTAACATAAACACATCAATTACAATTTAGAATACGACTAACCATTATAATATCCTTCCATACACAGCTGTATGAAGTTGCGACAAGCCTTCGGAGCCTCCTTCGTCCATAGTTCTATGTCAATCTCTCCCGCTGTAGTTTTTAATAACACCTGAAATTATAAAAAGAATCATAGTACTACAAGCCTTTCTAGCCCGTTGAAAATCATCCCATAAAATGTTCAAAAGTAGTCTCTAAATATTGGAAATAAGGTCTATAATGTAGTTAGTGGAGAGCGGTCACCGGTGACCGCTTGGGGATATACGGGCTAGCAGTTTCATCAAATCAGGTAATATATCAATGAGACTGTAAAACAATTTTTATTTAATACAGTAACGATAGAGTTTCTTACTCGTTCTTCTCGATTTGAAACTACACTTTGGAACGAGCTTCTAGCTTCACTAGTGCCTAATTAAGGATTAATTTAAATAAATGATATGACTTTGATTTTGAAACATCATCAATGAATCGGTTGCTTTTAGGCAGATGCTATGCTCCATCATAGCCCACATCACCAGGCGAGATAGTGGCCAAACATCAACTCGTTATCAATAAAAAATATAACTTCTTCTACCTACTTGGGATGAGGTCAAAGAAAAACTTAGAATCTGTAGCCAGCAGTTTAATTCATCATCAACAGCCTATAAATGCCCACTGCTGAGCGAAGCCTCTACTCACACGGAGAAGGTTTGAGCATTAATCACCACGCTTGCTCAATGCAGGTTGGCGATTACAAACTTATAATTAAAAATTATACAGAGGTGACTAGATAATCTTAGAAAGCACATATAACTCGGAAAATTCATAGCAGTCAATTAGGTACATGTCGTTGGTAGGTTTCAAGCCCGCACTCTCTGCATGCATAAGAAGTGTAGTCTTTAACCTTCAGGCAACTGCGACATTTACATAATAGAATAAGTAAGTAATTTTTTTATGGAATAATGGGCGAACGAGTAGACGGTGCACCTGATGGTAGGCGATCAGCGTCGCCCATGGACACCCGCAACACTTAGTTATCCACTTACACACTTAAAAATCATGGTCACTATTTACATTTATACCAAAAAATGAATCAATTCTACATAGAACATAGAAAATGTAATCGTTTTATAACCAATTGATATGACTTCAATTATAAAAACTACTTTTCTAAATCATATCGTTTCCATCTTTCGATAAAACTAACCTTTATGAAAATTACAATTCAACCTAAATAAACACGATTTTGTAAGAAAGAAATGCACATATAATATGTTAAGAATAAAGGGTATTCTCAATATCTAATTGTAAAGTAATTATTCGTTTCATAAAATACCAAAAATATTGAGTTTCATAATGGAAATAGTTACTCATAATTACCTTGCCCAATGCAGGTGGTTCTTGTATGTAAATGTTACTCATGTTGTATCCTACACGTTCACCGTCTTATAAACTACTATTTTGTAATAATAATGTTTATTTAAATCATTTTATTCACAACAAAATTACAGATTTTCCGACGCTCACCAAGCGTCCAAAACAATACTATAGATGTCACTTTCAAATGACATTGACAGTAACTTTTGAAGATTTTGACGTTTCCATTTCATCGATGCATTTTTTTAACTTGAAACCTGAGCTTTTTATCTCAATAATGACTACTACTTAACATTCACATGGTGAAACAATTACAAAACAACCTCTACGATCTTAGCTATAAATGATGATATGTATAGCTAGTAGACAAGATAATCTTTTCCCATATATGCACAGCAATTGCAGATATCCAATGTACCTACTCAACACTCACATTTCCCCCTCTTTTTCACTAGTTTTATTACGAATCCTGTCTGTCCTATATACTAATATAATAGGAGATGAGTCTGTTATATACAAAGCATATTACTTCAACAAATATAAAATGTACCGAAGTTACAATTTATCCTTAAACAAACCTTGGCATAATATGTCCTTATCCTATGCCCATATTTCCCATTTATTGCAGAGATGACCGAGTAAAGACCGTATGCGGTAAAAAAGGAGTACCTATTTCATTCATATTCGCTCTCCACAACACATACTACCTACCTATGTAGTCATAGGTAAGAAAAGACGTTATTAGGTAAGATTAAAATGTTATCATTGTTGTTAATTATTCATTACTAGCTTTTACCCGCGACTTCGCTCGCGTCACAAAAGGATAAAAGTAGCCTATACCAATACACACAGCGCCATCTATACCAATTCTTTTGTTTTCCCTCGGGAATATCAAATTTTTCCATGATAAAAAGTACCCTATTATTTAATCCAGACTTCTAACTTTACGTCTGCAAAAATTCAAAGCAATCGGTTTAGTACTCAAATTTAAGTCGCACTTAAGTATAGTTCTGTCTCTACGAATTCTTTGTAAAATGACAAAGATGGCACGATATTTAAGCACAACTTAAAATTGAGTAACGTTTCAGTATTTCCGGCATAAGTTTAATCTTTGTCCAGTTAAAATTAACTATTCAACTGTGGTAAAGCCATGCTTGGGCACAAATGGGCCGGCTCGACCGGAGGGATACCACGGCCTCACAGAAAACCGGCGTGAAACAACGCTCGCGTTGTGTTTCGTTGCGTGAGTGAGGTTACCGGAGGCCTCATTACCCCCCCTCTTCCTCAATCTCACCAATCTCTGAGTCCCCAACAATCATCATATTCGTAATCCCCAAAAGGCCGGTAACGCACTTGTAACGCCTCTGGTGTTACAAGCGTCTCCTAAGACACCGATTACTTAACTCCGTTCAGTGATTTGTCGGCTCGTTTCTTGGCATAACCCATACAAAGTATGGGTTTTTTTTTAAGGGGGGAAAATCATCGAATGACTGCTCCCGCCTGGGTGAGGCGGAAGGGAGTGTCAGACTCTTACTGACTAAAAACCACGTATGGGTAGGTACAAAACTTCATCATCATCAACAGCCTATAAATGCCCACTGCTGAGCAAAGCCTCTTCTCACACGGAGAAGGTTAGAGCATTAATCACCACGCTTGCTCAATGCGGGTTGGCGATATCAAACTTATAATTAGAAATTATAAGCGCAGGTTTCCTCACGATGTTTTTCCTTCACCGTTTGTCAGTGGTGTCTGAATAATCTTAGAAAGTACATATAACTCGGAAAAAGTCACATTGGTACTTGCCGTTGGTAGGTTTCGAACCCGCACCTTCATGCATGAGAAACAAGCGTCTTAAACCTCCGAGCCACCACGACATTAACTTGCGGTTTTGTAATTTTTGTGTATTTTTCTTAATTTTCAGGTTTGCGATCATTTCTACAACGTGCGCTGTGGATCTCCCTACGAAGATTTGTAAATTATTCTAATTAATAATTAAATAAGTAACCTAAATATATCGTTATTTATTACTTAGTCCGTACAATTTGTCTTATTTCAATACCTAATGTAGTTATAAGTAAATAAATATCACGATAGTTATTACAAAAATATATTACTTCACTGTCTCACGAGACATACTATCCTTACTAATATTATTAATCGGAAAGTGAGTTCGTTTGTTTGTTTGTTCCGATTTCACGCCGTAACTACTAAACCGATTGCTTTGAATTTTTGCAGACGTAAAGGTTAGAAGTCTGGATTAAATAATAAGGTACTTTTTATGCCGGAAAAATTTGATATTCCCGAGGGAAAACAAAAGTATTAGTATAGATGGCGCTGTATGTATTGGTATATGTCACATAGGCTACTTTTTATCCTTTTGTGACGCGAGCGAAGCCGCGGGTAAAAGCTAGTATTAAATAAAAATTGCGGGTTATTGTGAATATACTGATCTAAGGCCTTAGTACGAGTCTGTTTTACGCTTAAAGTAATCGTAAGGAGTATGCGTTTGGCGCTCTGATTGGTTGCTTCATTGGTGCCGGCCAATCAGTGCGCCGAACGCGTACTCGTTACGAATACTTTAAACGTAAAACAGACTCGTAGGTACTAAGGCCTCTGGGCTGGATGCGCAAGTAGCAACATCGAGGCGAGCGCCAACACTGGCCAGTAGGCTGCGCAACATCGCCGCGACCGCGCACGCTGCTCATGAGAAAGAACCCCTCTGTGGTTCGAAACTAGTAGAGCTTTTTTCAATATATTCACGTGAGTATCCCGCGATTTTAAGTTAAACTGTCAAACACCAAGCGGTCACCGGTGACCGCGACCCATTGTTCTTTAATTGTGTCCATAAAACCGGTACTCGACGAGTTAATTAAGAAATATAGTCGCTCGTTTAGAAGTAGTTATATCAACTAGATCGAACAAAAACAATAACTAATAACTGTTTATATTAAAACCTTCGTGAGACATACTACCTAATTAATTATTATGTTTTCGGCTTACTCACGTAACTGTTTGACGAGGAACTCGACTAGTTTCAAGCCATTCTAGAGGCTCATATTCATGTGCAGCATTCCGCGATTCGCGACGCGGCGACTGTCGCGCTGCTACTGGCTACTTGAGTCTGTCGCAGTGCGGGCCCAACGCATCTTTTCTGCCGTGATTCACGCACGTGACTTTTAAGTGTGGGAGAGCCATGCTTCGGCACGAATGGGCCGGCTCGACCGGAGTGATACCACGGCCGAGCAGAAGACCGACGTGAAACAACGTTGTCTTGTGTTTCGTAGTGTGAGTGAGGTTACCGGAGGCCCAATTAGGTGCTAGGTATTATGTGCTAGGAGGCCCCGCTCCTCAAAACTAGTAACAGTGGTATGTAGGAGTGTGCTAATAATTAATTATAGGGGTTTAATAGACATTTGTAGTAAAACGTTTAAATATAATCAAAATAACACAAAAACATTTCAGAAAAAAAATATTTTATTTATAAACATAAAAAAAACACACACACATACACAGAACACAAAATCTGTAGTATAAAAATAAAAATATGAGTATTTTAAAAATATATATATACTAATACTAAGTATAAAAAATCTTTGAATACGGAAAATCGCTAACCGATTTCCCCTGTGTTTAAAACAGTATATCAAACTATATTTTTGTCGGAAACAGATTTTACATAATGATATATTACAGTCTGATATGTATACGTTATCTCCAAAAAATATGTATAAAAAAGAATAATCACACATGATGTATATCAGCCAAGTTATTAAGTTTTTTTTAAGGGGGGAAAATCATCGAATGACTGCTCCCGCCTGGGTGAGGCGGGAGGGAGTGTCAGACTCTTACTGACTAAAAACCACCCCGTTCCTTCTCCTGCACGTTGAGCCGGAGCCCCGGTTACCGGTTAGGTTCTCCGCGACAAGTTATTAAGTATACATACACGAAAATAACGATTGATTCAGTACAAAGACAGCAGCTATAATCATCATCAACAGCCTATAAATGCTCACTGCTGAAGCAAAGCCGCTTCTCACACGGAGAAGGTTTGACCATAATCGCCAATCTGCTTTGAGCAAGCGTAGTGATGCTTGCTCAATGCGGGTTGGCGATTTCAAACTTATAATTAGGAATTGTAAGTCCAGGTTTCCTCACGATGTTTTTCTTCACCATTTGTCAGTGGTGTCTAAATAATCTTAGAAAGTATATATAACTTGGAAAAAGTCAGATTAGTACTGCCGTTGGTAGGTTTCGAACCCGCACTCTCATGCATAAGAAGCGGATGTCTTAACGTCCGGGCCACCACGACACGTCACATCTTATCTGATACTATTATACCTCTATAAAGCGGAAGAGTTTGTTTTTTTGTTTGTTTGTTTGAACGCGCTAATCTCCGTAACTACAAGTCTGATTTGAATAATTCTTTTTGTGTTGGATAGCGCATTTATCGAGGATGGCTATAGGCTATAAAACATCGCGCTACGACCAATAGGAGCTGAGCAGAGCGTGTGAAACCGCGCGGAAGTAGCTAGTTACAAATATCTTTTGAGACCATTGGTCGGCTCAGTAGCCAAGCAATGGTTACTGTCTCTGTACTGAATCAATATTTATTTTCTTACATGCATACTAAATAGGTTGGCTGTACATAAAATACTAAAAATATATTTACAAAACTACTTTTAAGTAATTATTTAATTTGTGAGATAATTCATTTGTGGCAGTATGGAAATATAACATTATTTTTATTTATACTTCATGTCATATATACAACATGTAAAGTAATTAACGCACACCCTCAAACACCCAAATTAGAATATTATGTTATAATCATAATACATACACAAAATTTTTAATTTAACATGTATATACATCCTTACTGGTCTTGTCATAAGGTTTATTTTTCTTTATTCTGTATTGAATGATAGAATTTGTATGAATACAAATAAAACTGCGATTTTAAAAGTCTTATTGCTTTGACTTACGGTCCATTTCGATTTGTTTTAACAATACAGGATTAATATGACAATAATTTCCGTAGTTTTAAGTATTTTTGGGATAAAACATTACCTATACTAAAAATTATATACATAAATCGATTCAGTTAACGATTCCGAACAAACTATTTTCAGGATGTGCGTTATTTAAGTTACATGTTGTATAATTATATAAAAAAAAAACAAAAAAATATCGGTATAAAGTCGGTAAGTTTAAAATCGGTCTCTCTATGAGCAACACTGACTTATTATACCTACAGTATCAAAAATACTGATCGTATAAAATTCCGCAATAATTAGAGATATTAGAAATATTTTGAATTATACTTGGGAAAAGATTTAAGTAAGTATAATAATCACAATATAGGAATTGGGTATTTTTCACAGTCAAAAAACAAATTATTTCGACTTTTCAATACGTACAATTTGACATTGTATACATAATGTCTACTTACGGCTGTTATCACATTTTGTAAGCAGCTCATGTCAAAATTATATTTTCATACGCAAATAGAAAGGTTATTGAAAACGACAGTTTGTTAGTTTCTACCATACGTCTACGGAACGTCTACCAAATGTCTACGGAACGTCTACCAAACGTCTACGTAGTATCTACAACCCATTTGGTAGACCTGTTAAGTAATTTTTCAATAATATGTTGTCGTGGTTAGACGGGCCCATAGTATTTGGGGAGCCTTCTACCCATCACTTTGTTATGAGTAGTATTTTACACATATTAAAAATATTTAATAATTTTACATATAGTCATGAGACATAGATTTTTAACAAAAAAAAAATTATAAGCAGATTTTACAACAAAATGATCAAATAAAAATCACGTAGGTAACAAAAAAAGATCACTGATTTTAACCATAAATTATACACTTTCACAAAGTCCAAAAATGAATATAAAAAGAACACTGACTTCATTATAAGTTCCTATCGACTTTCACAGAGTCCAAAGGCTTACAAAATGATATTTACATGACAAAAAGCGACTACTCAATTGGGTAATTTCCAGGGTATCAAAATTAAAAATCTAATTAGTCCGTTAATTAGATAATGAAAAAATTATAGACAAGTATTTTTATTTTCTCATATCAAGTTGCTATACTTAGATATAATGGCGCTAAGTTTAGGAGTTAAAGGTCGTTACGTCATAACGTGCTACAAAATGTGACACGCTGTGACGTCACACGATATTTCAAATTAATATATCGTCGAAAGTATTTAATTTTGTGAGAAAAGAAAAAATACGTGTCTAAAGTTTTAAATAAATGTACCAGATAGACATTTAAATAATATATAGGAAACTACCCTATTCATACTAAGTACGTCACGTCATTAGGAACACTACAATTTCAACGCAACTAAAGCACAAAGGACAATGCCAATTACACTACTTCTAATACTATGTCCATTACCTCCTTTGTCCTTCTCACTTCTGACCTCATTGTCACTCTCCAGGCGTTTAACTTCATCTAAAATCCTTTTCTCCTCTACGGCTAAGGTAATAGCGTCGTTTATCGTCTGCATTAGCGCGTAGTTCGTGTATTTTGGCTGGGGCAGGCGCAGGTGGAGTTGGTTGTCTTGTAGCACGTAGGCTGGGCCTTTGGAGCCTACTAGGGTTACTGCGGAAGATGAATGTTTGGGGTTGAAATAATGGGGATGATGACAGGGTATGAAAATTAAAAATATAATTAGTCCGTAAGTTAGGTAATGAAAAAATATTAGACACGTATTTTTTTATTTTGTCGTATAATAAAACAATACTTAGATAAAACGAATCAAAGTTTAGGAGTGGGGGCTAAAACGTCATTTCTTAGTATAAAATATACTGAGAAGTGACGTCACGCGACATTTCAAATCAATATATCTTCGAAACTATTCGTTTCTGAGAGAAAATAAAAAATACGTGTCTAATGTTTTTAAATAATCTATCAGACGGACATTAAAATAAAAATTAGTCGTCTACCCTATTATTATGTACAACTATATACAATGGCGGACTTAATGCCGAATGGCATTCTCTACCAGCCAACCATAGGGTGATGCAAAAAAGTGTTACAGTAGGTTTTAATAGAAGTTTACATCTATCGAAAAAAATAAAAACGAGGGTGATAAATGTACGTACATATGTATAAAGGTATCCTAGTACATAAACTACATACCAATACTACATACTAATATGAAACATAAATATAATATGTAAATAATTAAATATATATATACATATATATGTATAATAAAATGTAATATAAAAATAAATATAAAATAGGTTTATATATTTTATATAATTATATATTATATTGTGTCAATAATATTATTTCTTTAATCGGGTCGGGCAAAGTACTACTGAATTTTTAAAATTCTCAGTAGTAGCACGGAGTTTGGAGTTGTGCCCGGTATATGGCAATAGACTCACCCCCTATTACATGGGACGCAACATAAAATAGTGAAAAGTGGGTGTTACATTGTAAATTGGCATTAAGTGCCGTAATGTACACCTCTGCCTACTCCTTCGGGGATAAAAGGCGAAAAGTTATGTTATGTTATCTCATACCATTATATAAAGCGGAAGAGTTTGTTTTTTTTGTTTGTTTGTTTGAACGCGCTAATCTCCGTAAGTACAAGTCTGATTTGAATAATTCTTTTTGTGTTGGATAGCGCATTTATCGAGGATGGCTATAGGCTATAAAAATCACGCTACGACCAATAGGAGCTGAGCAGAGCGTGTGAAACCGCGCGGAAGTAGCTAGTGTAAAATAATGGCTTACTCACATGAATTAATTAAGACAAAACACAACGGGACTGTTAAACATGAGCATGTAATGTTCTTAAATAGTTTGATCACCTGATGGTAAGCAATCAGCGTCGCCCGTGGACAACGCTTGCGTTGTGTTTCGTCGTGAGAAATTTACCCCCCCCCCCCCACCCCTTTCTCCATATCTCCGCAATCCTTGAATCCCCAACAATCCTCAAGTTCCCAATTCCCAAAAGCCCGGTGGTAACGCACTTGTAACGGCTCTGGTGTTCCAGGTGTCCATGGGCGACGCCGATTGCATACCATCAGGTGATCCGTCTGCTCGTACTTATCTGATTATCCAATTTAAGAGAGAAATCTAGTCTAATTTACACTTTATAGGTCGACGTTTGACCACCATCTCGCCTGATGGTAAGCGATGATGTGGCCGACGATGGAGCACGTCTACCTATGAGCAACCTGTTCACTCGGGACTTGAAGACACCCAAGTCATATTTGACGGGAAACACAGCCTCTGGCAAGGAATTCCATTCCTCATTCTAATCATAAAATTAACTTACCATCAGGTATATTCAGGTTCCTAATAGCCTTGTTGACGACGGGGTCGTTCACCATCCTTCTGTGGCGTTCCACGAAGTCTATGTACGCATCGGTTTCATTGCAATTGCCTCTGAAGTCATCTGTGTCTATGGACCACACCATGAGACCGCCTAAACCCTTGTCTATGGCCATCCTGTGGAAAAATTGTGATTTTTAGTACTAGAATATAATTTATCAGTTTTTTTTAAGGGGGGAAAATCATCGAATGACTTCTCCCGCCTGGGTCAGGCGGGAGGGAGTGTCAGACTCTTACTGACTAAAAACCACCCCGTTCCTTCTCCTGCACGTCGAGACGGAGCCCCGGTTACCCGTTAGGTTCTCCGCGACAATTTATCAGTTTGGGTGGTTTAGTCTGCACTGTTGGTGCGGTGGCTGGGCAACCGGCTGCCGTGCAACGTGTCGCGGGTTCGATTCCCGCACGGAACAACACTTTGTGCGATCCACAAATTGTTGTTTCGGGTCTGGGTGTCATGTGTATGTGAACTTGTATGTTTGTAAACGCACCCACGACACAGGAGATAATACTAGTGGGGGCAACGTTTTTTTTTTAAAGTCCAATCTCAGCAAATATGAAATTACCACAGAAAGAACATATAAAGAAAGAAATCTATACAGATAAATAAAATTATATTATCTGTTTGTAATATTAAAATAACCGCTTTTTACTGCGTGTATATGAATATACATCCACGACACATACCAAAATAGCATTTTTTATAATTTCTGTCTGTCTATTTGCACTGACTAATCTATGGAATGGCTGGACTAGTGTACTGTACTGGCTACGATACTTAGATATCCGTGCGTCACTGCATGGGTGCCCACTGAAAATCAGTGCTGGGTAACCTGTATGCCTGGCTTACACTGAGTGGGTGACCTTTTTAGCATAGGCATGTTGTCAGCGTCTCTTTTCTAATTCTTCTGTTTCAATTTTTCAACTCTTATATTTTTATTACTTTCACTGTCGCATCTTGATTGTCTTTTTTTATTTTTTATTTATGCTGCATCGTGCCGGGTGCTAAATAAATGTTTTTTCTTTCTTTCTTTCTTTCTATATCAATGGAGTTAAGTTAAGGAGTGAGAGGTCGTTACGTCACAAAATACATTGTTTACAAAATGTAGCACGCTGTGGCGTCACATTAATATAGATATCGTCGCAAGTATTTAATATTGTCTGCCTCATTGGCCGAGTGGTCGCAAGCGCGACTGCCGGGCAAGGGGTCTCGGGTTCGAATCCCGGGTCGGGCAAAGTATTACTGGGTTTTAAAAAAATTCTCAGTAGTAGCACGGACTCTGGAATTGTACTCAGTATATAGCAATAGGCTCACCCCCTATTACATGGGACTCATAACATAAATAGTGAAAAGTGGGTGTTACATTGTACAGGGGCATAATGTACACCTCTGCCTACCCATTCGGGGATAAAAGGCATGATGTTACATATATTACATGAAACTTACTTGATTTTAATAGCAATAGACCGTCCGTTATCATAGGAGATGACCTTCTCCCCATCTCTAAGGTATGGTGTGGCGGACTGCTCATGCCAATGATACACCCAGGGGGAAGATTTGTTCATCGTCTCGGCACAGATCTGGAAATATAGACTCACAGTTTTTATAGGTACTCATAGTATTTATTTATTTATTATTTATTTATTTAAATAGGTTAGCCAACAATTATTACACTTTTTCATTCCTGTTATTAAAAGATATAAACACATGTGCGAGTATAATAAATTATTAAGAACAATTATTATTAATAATCACTTATAGGCTAACACACAATATAAATATAGCTCATAGTATAGATACTGTCTTTGAAATGAAGTTATTATTATCGTTGCCCCACACTAGGATTTTCTCCTGTGTCGTGGGTGCGTTTACAAACATACAAACTCACATACACATGACACCCAGACCCGGAACAACAATCTGTGGATTACACAAAAAGTTGTTCCGTGCGGGAATCGAATCCGCCACACGTTGCGCGACAACCAGTTGCCCAAACACCGCGCCAACCGTGTAGTCAGCAGGTCAAAGTGGATGTTATAATTTACATTGTACAGTGGCATTAAGTGCCGTAATGTGCACCTCTGCCTACAGTAATTAAAAATCCTTTCCAAGTGTAGATACATTAAAAAACCCTTATTCAGAAATCCTTACTAATATTATAAAACTGAAAGTGAGTTTGTTTGTTTGTTCCACCTTCACGCCGAAACTACTAAACCGATTGCTTTGAATTTTTGCAGACGTAAAGTTAGAAGTCCGGATTAAATAATAGGGTAATTTTTGTCCCGGCAAAAATTTGATATTCCCGAGGGAAAACAAAAGTATTGGTATAGATGGCGCTGTGTGTATTGGTATATCATTACATAATGATATACCAATACACACAGCGCCATAAATATATCATCTATACAAAAGGATAAAAAGTAGCCTGTGCCATCACAGGCTACTTTTTATCCTTTTGTGACGCGAGCGAAGCCGCGGCTAAAAGCTAGTTAAAAATAAACCTTACCTCATTATACCCCATAAAACCAGCTTCACCAGTGTAAGGTCCCTTAAATCCAGTAGCCTTGACGGGAGTGGAGCCGTACTCCAGGACTCTGGAGCCAGGGTCTGTCAACAAGAAGGTCCGACCATACATCGGTAGACCCAGCACCATCTTGTAAGGACTCACGCCATGAGCCAGGAGGTATTCTACTGTCCATTCCTGGGAAAGAAAGATGAAGTTAATTGTGAGTTTTAGATTAGAGCCTTCAAAAATGGTAAAAAGAAAAAATAAATACAGTAGGATGAAACCCATTAGAGAAGGAGCTGAATGATTATACAATAAACGTTCCGTTTCATACTAGTTCTCAAATACGCCTCGCCAATCAACACTTTATCGCGTCAAAAAAGTATGAATTAACAAGAAATGCGAATATTTTCAAGAATCAATTAATTTAAAATAAAGAATTTCACGCGAACGAAGTCGCGGGTTTTTGTAATTAATAATTGACATACCAACAGATTGTAATTAATAATTGACATACCAACAGATTGTAATTAATAATTGACATACCAACAGATTGTAATTAATAATTGACATACCAACAGATTGTAATTAATAATTGACATACCAACAGATTGTAATTAATAATTGACATACCAACAGATTGTAATTAATAATTGACATACCAACAGATTGTAATTAATAATTGACATACCATAATTGATCTTTTTAACAGTAAATTAATGAAAATCGGGTAAAATTTGTATTCTGGCTTTAATAGTGTCAGTTTACCCCGTCGAGCGTCCGCGTTCCTTATGATCCAACGGGTGCACACGTGACATTTGGAGAAAGAAAGAAAGAAAATGCATTTATTTGGCCATCGGCACACGAAAACAAGGATCATTACAATAGAAATAAAACAAATACAGTCAAAATAAAAACAAAACAATAGATAAAAGAGAAAGCAGCATGGAGCATTTTTTCTTATGATCCACCGGGTGCTCATAAGGACGCTCGAGGGGTTAACAATGCTTGAATATTAAAAAACTGTTTCTTCACTAAGTCAAAAACAAGGGGTACTACAAATATAGAAAAATCTATAAAAAACAAAAGTCAACTTACCACGCTTAAAGTATCATTATCATTAATTCCTTTCAGCGGGGCGTTGGCTCCCAGCACCCCGTCCCAGGTACCATGGTAATCATAACACATCATATGTATGAGGTCCAAATATCGGCTCAATTTAGCCAGGTCATAGGCCGTCTCCATAGTGGATTTACCAGCTCCAAGCGCCGCTGTTAAGATGTAGCCATGTGGCTCAAACGCTTCACTAAGTTCCTAGAAAACATAACATAACATCACGCCTTTTATCCCCGAAAGGGTAGAGGTGCACATTATACCACTGTATAATGTAACACCCACTTTTCACTATTTATGTTAAGAGTCCCATGTAATAGGGGGTGAGCCTATTGCCATATACCCGGCACAATTCCCGACTCCTACTAATGAGAATATTTAAAAACCCAGTAATATTTTGCCCGACCCGGGAATCGAACCCGAGACCCCTTGCCCGGCAGTCGCACTTACGACCACTCGGCCAAAGAGGCAGCAGATTCCTAGGAAAATATAGAGAATTTTAGACATGTTAAAGAGTGAATCTCGTGACGAAGACTGAAATGTCCTGGTGGCCTGGATGTTGGGTAAACTAACCGGAAAACTGGAATCAGGATATCAGAATTAGCAAGGGAACAAGAGAGAAATATACACAAAGAATTATTTATCATACCTTAACGAGAAGAACGAAGTTTTCCCTATCATATGGTTTGCCATCCCTTTTGGTGGGGTACTCCCAATCCAAGTCCAAACCGTCGAATTTGTAGTTACTGGAAAAGGAGAAAACTATAATGTATCGTGAGACTTACAAAATTAATTAAAAATCGCGGGTTACTCACGTGAATATACTAAGATTCGGGGAGATTCGGGCTTTGGGGAGACCGGGCAGGGGGGGGGGTGGTAATTGGACCTCCGGTAGCCTCACTCACATGACGAAACACAACGCAAGCGTTGTTTTACGTCGGTTTTCTGTGAGGCCGCGGTATCACTCCGGTCGAGCCGAGCGTTGTGTTTCGTTTTGTGAGTGAGGTTACCGGTGGCCCAATTAAGTAAAGCCTCTTCTCACACAGAGAAGGTGAGCATTAATCGCCACGTTTGTTCAATGTGGGTTGGCGATTTCAAACTTATAATTAGAAATTTTAAGTCTAGCTTTCCTCACGATGTTACATATAACTCGGGTACATGGGTACTTGCCATTGGTAGGTTTCGAACACGCAGTCGCAAGCATGAGAAGCGGGCGAACCTCAACACCTAGACCCGGAACGACAATCAGTGGGTCACAAAAATAATTATAAACAGCCAGTCGCCCATCCACTGCACGAACCGAGCTTGCAATGTGAATAGAACTGCAGTAACATACTATGATGCCTATTATCACCGTAGGGTCGATATAAGTGCACATTACAGCCCTTAATGCCACTGTACAATGTAACACCCACTTTTCACTATTTATGTTATAAGCCCCATGTAATATGGGATGGACCTATTGCCATATACCGGACAAAATTCTAGACACCGTGGTACTACTGGAATTTCTTTTCGTTTTTAACTCAGTTACAGTTTGCCCGACTCGAGAATCGAACCCGAGACCCCTTGCCCGGCAGTCGCACTTGCGTCCACTTGGCCAACGAGGCAGTCAACTGCAAAAGCAATATGTTCAATTTTATCAACTTACTTCAGCATGAGCAAAACGCTCTTTATGAAAGCAGCTCTGGACTCCGCTTTGCTGGCCATGTTGGAATACCTTGGAGACCCCTCGTTCCATCCTCCGATGGCCAGGGTCACCTTCAAGTGTGGGTACTTGTTCTTCATGGCCACCAGGCGCTTATATCCAGCTTTGCCATAATCTGTTTCCAGGTCTTGCCAGGGATCTGAAACAGAAGATAGATTTGATGAGATGGATTCAGGCACGGCGTCATGGTGGTCTCTTAGACTTCTTTGATGAAGTGGTCACAAGCGCTACTATCGAACCGTAGGTAGGTATCGGGTTCGTATACTTTTTTTTTAAGGGGGGAAAATCATCGAATGACTGCTCCCGCCTCGGTGAGGCAGGAGGGAGTGTCAGACTCTTACTGACTAAAAACCACCCCGTTCCTTCTCCTGCACGTCGAGCCGGAGCCCCGGTTACCCGTTACGTTTTCCGCGACTCCGAATCGGCATCAGCCCTATTGGGCCCCATCTGTGGTGGTCTGATGGCTCCGCGCCGTACGCTTGGGTCTGTTTCTGGTCGGACGGGGAGCCACCCATGCTCGCCGTCCGCAGGCCCGCGCTTACGGTGGCCGGAGATCGTCTCGCGATCCCCGACGCCCGGTGTGTCCTTCGCGATGGCTGGGTTGCGAGGAGGCAGCGCTTCGCTGCCTCACGCGTCCCGCCTCCTCCTCAGCTAGCATGACTGCTTCGCAAAAGGAGGAGACGGCATCCCAATCCCCCTCGCTCCGCATCATGGCCTGCACTAGGCCCGGACGCGAGAGGTCGCCATCGCCGATCACTTCCCTGAGGGCACGGCGGTGCTCAGCCCACGCAGGGCATTCTCCCACTGTGTGTTCCACCGTGTCCTCTTTGACTTTGACTACCTACTGTCATTTTGAGTTGAGATATTGTTTTGTTTACTTTGATTTGATTGATTCAGTTTGATTTTGATTATTTTGAGTTGATTTTGATTATTTTGATTTGATTATAATTATTTGATTGACTTTGCTGATTTAATTATTGGACTTAACAATAATTTTTTGTCGCGCAGACAACTCGGCGCGCCCGCGCACGCTGTTCATTAGGAAGAGTCCCTTTGTAACTCGAAACTAGTAGAGCTCAATTGACAATTTTGTTAATTAAGAACTTACCTAATAAAACATTGTTCATCATATTTCAGGAAAAATGTACATAAACTATGTACCAATGATTATGTGCATGCTATGTATGTATGTATGAGTTGAATGGCATATAGAGTCGCGTGTTTGAATGAACATTAGGTACATACAAATGTGTCGCGATGGCACAGCTTTCTTTGTAATTATTTTGTAGATAAGTGATTATTAAGTACTTATAATAGCGTTTGCTTTGTGAAGTCGTTGTTTATTTGTTGACTGAAACCAAAATCAATTGATTATTAAACTGTCAAACACCAAGCGGTCACCGGTGACCGCGACCCATTGTTCTTTAATTGTGTCTATAAAACCGGTACTCGACGAGTTAAGATCGATTTGTGATATTACTTGTATTATATGATTATAGTCATATATTATATATGATAATATGATATATGACTGCCTCGTTGGCCGAGTGGTCGCAAGTGCGACTGCCGGGGGAGGGGACTCGGGTTCGATTCCAGGGTCGGGCAAAATATTACTGGGTTTTTAAAAAAAATCTCAGTAGTAGCACGGAGTCTGGAATTGTACCCGGTATATGGCAATAGGCTGACCCCCTATTACATGGGACTCTTAACATAAATAGTGAAAAGTGGATGTTACATTGTACAGTGGTATAATGTGCACCTCTGCCTACCCCTTCGGGGATAAAAGGCGTGACGTTATTTTATGTTATGTTTTTACTAGTCTACCAGAATCGGAATAAAATTTTCGAAAAACTGAATCAACCCCAATAATATTTTGCTCGGCCCGGGAATCGAACTCAAGCCTGAGTTCCTCTAAACGTATTATTTAGTATTACTCTATTAAATGAATACATACCAAGACTCTTAATAGTGTTAGAAGTTTCATTGAGACCAGCGAAAGAGTACACCAGGTGGGTGCATAATGCTGGCTCCAGGTCCTCCAAGCTGAATCTGCCAGGATCCGGCCGGTAGACCGCCCAGGTAGCTATGTAGCACACCACCTTTTTACCATGCTTCGGTCCTGGAAATGAAAAAATTGTAAAGTTAACTTATTTTTTTATATATCGTTGCCCGTTACACGTATCATGGGTGCGTTCACAAACATACAATTTCACACACACACAACACCCAGATAATTAGTGTAATCAACAATTTGTAGATCATAATCGCGTCGCAGCCTGGCGGATTTACGTTCTACATTTAACCTCGCGTCGCAGCCCTCTACCTGGCGGCGAGCGGAAGACCAGACCTCCTTCTACCTGGGAACTACCTAGGCCCTGCTGAAGACCTGGAAGTCCATTAGGAACGAGACCGGACCGCCTGCAGAGCTACTCCACGGTTCAGGCCAGTGTTCTCAGCGTACCTATTACCCCGAACCTGGACGCGATTGGGGCAACAGATAATTGGCGTAAATAGAGTGAACTACTTCTAAAAAAAGTGTACTTTATTTGGACCCCTACCTACCTACCTACCTGCCGGCCACCTGACTCCTACAGGAAGCAAGGTGCCGCAACACAATATTGGAATATGTATCAGACAGAGCAATGTAAACAGACTTTTTTTTAAAGAGTAACGAATTGAGTTTCTTTTTCGTTCTTCTCCACTCGAATCAACATTTTGGAACGAGCACCTAGCTTCATTGACGGACAGACTGACAGACTATTATTTATTTCATACTAGCTTCTGCCCGCGACTTCGTACGCGTAATCCCATTTTTCCCATCCCCGTTCGTGATATTCGATAAAAAGGAAAAAAAAGTATTGGTTAAAAAGTATCCTATGTCGGTCTCCTGGCTCTAAGCTACCTCCCCACCAATTTTCAGCCAAATCTATTCTGCCGTTCTTGAGTTATAAGTGGTGTAACTAACACGACTTTCTTTTATATATGTATATAAGATTTGTCGACGTTTCAAAAGTACCAAATTATGGTTTAATTGAAATAAATGCTTTTGAGTTTGAGTTTGAGAGTTTGACACGAAGATTTGCTCCGTGCGCTACCCGGAACACGTTGTGGGGCAGCCGGTTGCCATGAAACGTGTTGCGAGTGGATGCCCGTCGTAGAATTGTCAGACTTTCGGGGCTCCCTAAGGATTAGGGCCCTAGGCACGGGCCCCGAGTGCCAAAGACGGTAACGGTTGTAAGGTAATAGCCCGCTGTTACCTGAGCGAAGAGTAGAGATACCACAAGGCAGAATAATCGAGACCAGAGAGATAATAATATGAACCTTAATTATATGTAAAACTAGCAGCCCGTCCCGGCTTCGCACAGGGTAGACGATTATTTATTCTTGGAAAGGATTGTTGTAGTGACATAACTACAATAGTTGGACATATGCTACCGCGGAGTTTTTTGTAGACATTATGATGTTCTTCAATATTGTTGTACATTATTTTGTTCTATCGCTAATAGTTTCGGCTGCGCATCCGACGAAAGACATTTTAAGACTCACTTTTCTACACCTTCGGTTACATTGTTCAAATTTTACCAAGAATCTATAATTTTTTTCAAAATGAAATGTAGCCTATGTCAAATTGGAATAATGTAGCATTCTATTGGTGAAAATTTTTTTAAATCGTCTATATACTTTTTGAGCCTATTTATTACAAACATACAAAAATAGGTAAAAATCTTTCCTCTTTATAATATTAGTATAGATAAATATATTTTAATACGAATACTCAGATTACAATAAGTTTAAAGAACTGCAAAGGACACAGGTGAAGGCGAAGCGGTAACCGGTTTGGTATCAACAAATTTAATGTTTGTCTGAACGTGATAATCTTATAAACTGCTAAACGAATTTTGATGCGGTTTTTGTTAATAGATCTAGAGTATCTTAGAATTGTGTATTTGTTAAAACTATGAACGAAACTAAATAGGTATCTTCTTAATTTTCTCTACTGAATGTGATATTCTCATGAAGTACTAAACGGATTTTAATACGATTTTCGTGAATAGATAAGGAATTTGGAGTCGGTTGTGTCCTAAATCTACTACTAGCCACCTAAGGTGTCACATCTGTTAAATTTAAGGTGACTATGATCTCTAAGCAGACTATCAAGCTTCTTCAAGACTAGGGCTTATTAAGATTAAGGCTTCTGAGACTGAGAGGTGGTCGAGTAGGCAATGACTTACGTCAAAGAATGATGATGATGATGCTGTACTTCGACCCGACACCATCCCACTTAGAGATATTAGAACATAACATCACGCTTTTTTATCCCCGAAGGGGTAGGCAGAGGTGCACATTTCGGCACTGTACAATGTAACACCCACTTTTCACTATTTATTTTATGAGTCCCATGTAATAGGGGGTGAGCCTATTGCCATATACCGGGCACATTTCCAGACTCCGTGCTACCAGTGAGATTTTTAAAAACCCAGTAATACTTTGCCCGACCCGGGAATCGAACCCGAGACCCCTTGCCCCTGCCCGAGATATTAGAAAAAAATAAAAAATCAACAGATCCGACTTTTGACCAAACATTTTTTATGGGATAATATGGCCGGTAAACGAGCAGACCGATCACCTGATGGTAAGCAATCGACGTCGCCCACGGACACTCGAAAGAACAGAGGTGTTACAAATGCGTTACCAGGCTTTTGGAGACTAGGAATTTTAAGATCATTGATCATTTGGGAAGGGGGTAATTAGGCCTTAGGAGCTTATTATTCGTTTGAGAGGTAATCGAGTAGGCAATGACCTACGTCAGTGACAAAGGAAGGGCAGGACACAATCCCACTCAGAGATATTACAAAAAAAAAATGGAAAACAGACAGACCCGACTTTATATCCAAGCTAACCCACTACATTAAGTCAAAGTCAAGTCAAAAGTTTCAATTAGACCAGGAAGGCACTTTTCAACGTCAGCAATTAAAAGTGAAGCTATCTGCTCATTCCAAGGTGTAGATTCCTATGGAAAAGAAGGAGCAAGAAACTCCATAGGTTACTCTTTTCCAATCAGTTTCACAATAAGTACAATTCTTCAGTTACACAGTTTTATTGGTTTGATTGTGCGAGAACAATGTAACACCAAAATCTAGCCAAAGAGATCGAAAAAGAAAATAACCCTTAAAGACAATAAATAATACAGTCTGGAGCTGACCAGTCACAGTTGACGGCGCCCGTTCACGAACAGGTCACGTACACCAGCACCGCCCAACTCAACCATATTGCAGGGAATCTAGCGACCCAATGCACGTGCCACCGCCAATGAGATCTTTGAGTGAACATGACATTAAAGTGTAATATCAAATTCACCGAGCCGGTTAAATATACATTAAAATGTAACCAAAATATAACTGTAACCAAATTGTCATTTAATTGTGGTACAAGCGCAACTGATGATATTGTTTTATGGTCGCGTTGGCGGTAACAGTTTATAGAGCTAACTGTTATATTCAGTGAGTTTGTGGTTTTTGGCCTAGATGTGCAATGAATGATTAACAGGAAGTGTCTTTTTTATTATGGGATAAGCCGGTAAACGAGCAGACGGATCACCTGATGGTAAGCAATCGGCGTCGCCCATGGACACTCAGAACACCAGAGGTATTACAAGTGCGTTACCGGCCTTTTGGGAATTGGACATTTGAGAATTGTGGGGGATTTGGGTATTGGAGGGACTGGGGAGGGGAAGTAATTATGCCTCCGGTAACCCCACTCACCCGAAACATAACGCAAGCGTTGCTTACACACGACAGTAATTATGAAGGAGAATGAGTATCACTACATAGTATAAAACAAAGTCGCTATCCGCCGTCTGTCTGTCCCTATGTATGCTTAGATCTTTAAAACTACGCAACGGATTTTGATGCGGTTTTTTTTAATAAATAAAAATAAAATAAAAAAAAATAAAATAAATTTATTTCAGACATATTGGGTCCATACATTTACGATTAGATTATTATTATTCAATATATATATTCTTAATTAATTTAATTTATTACATTATAACACCGCATTATCAATCATTCAAATTAGTATATTGTCAATTTAATTAATGTCAATTTAGGTAAAAAATATCATTACATCAACAAATATAAAGAAGAAATGAAAAAAGGCCAAATTATTTAATTTTTTTTTTTTTAACAATAGAATTAACTTAAGTATTTGCCTCCGTTTGAGGCACCGGTCACGCACACTTGAGTTTGAACCCAGTGCCTCATAAGGGGGCTATCCAGTTTTTGGCTGAGCTCGCTCAAGATGGTGTTGACTTTAATAGATAAAGTGATTCTTAAAGAAAGTTTATATGTATAATACATGCATATTGCACCCGTGTGAAGCCGGGGCGGGTCGCTAGTAACTAATAAAATCCGAACTATCTCTACGCGATCTCTTTTGCCAATTGGTTGTTATATTAAGCAGGGGGGTAGCTAGCGCCGTATCTGCCGTATCAATTATATGGGGCCCTCGGACTACGGGGGCCTCTAACGTGTGTAAGCAAAAATATGTAAACTTCTCAATTTATATTTTATTTCAGTAATCACAAAATGCATGCGTTCAAAGGTTGGCAGAAACCATGGAATAAATAAATCTATTCCATGGCAGAAACTTTGGTAAAACTAAAGTAATCATTGTCCAATAATTTGGGCAGAGGCCTGGCCCGACCTGGAAAGTTTTCCGGTTTTAACACAAATTATTGGTATATTATGTAAAAAAAATCTCTTCTGAGGTATTTTTAAGTACCTTTCATAAGGACACCCAAAAAAATTTTTTGCGGTGCCTCGCCATGATACGCCACTGATATTAAAGTTATGTCGTGGTGGCCCGAAGGCTTAAGATGCCCGCTTCTCATGCATGAGGGTGCGTGAAACCTACCAACGGTAAGTACCAATGTGACTTTTTCCGAGTTGTATATACTTTCTAAAATTATTCAGACACCACTGCCTCGTTGGCCGAGTAGTCGCAAGTGCGACTGCCGGGGCAAGGGGTCTCGGGTTCGATTCCCGGGTTGGGCAAAGTATTACTAGGTTTAAAAAATCTCAGTAGTAGCACGGAGTCTGGAATTGTGCCCGGTATATG